CAAAGCTCTCGACAGATTTGATTGGTAGAAGGCGTTGCGATCACCGCAATCATACTTTTTTTGTCTGAGCTTTCGGGCTCTTTCTGGAGTCCACCGTTAGAGATAAAAGGCGTAAACGAAGTACGAGCAACAGTTATAGGACGCAGGGGCCAATCAACCGTTATGGAGGGAATTGGGGAGCAGTCAACCACTAATGCCATCAGTCTGGAGCTGCCTGCACAGCGCAATGTATGCCGGCGCCAGATCGATAAATCGATTGACTAAGTTCTCATCCAAGGCCAAGGCTTCAATCAATTCGTGGCCTGTCTTGTTGTCGGCGTGCGCGATTACCCTTGCAGCTGCAAAATTGAATTCGTGACCGGTCTCGTAGGTATGGCCGGCCACTTTCGATAATGCGTCATCCCGTCGTACCGCCAGCTTGTGTTCGTGTATGCGCGAAACAAGCATACTTCCTGTCTGTCTTGTGTAGTTTCGGGAACAGTTTAGACATGGTATGCGATAAACTACACCCTACTGCTCACTGGGATTTAATCGATCCTTGATTCGCATGATTCATATGATTCCAGTGGTCGCAACGCCGTCTACCTCTCTATCTACACATATTCCTCGGATGCGAACATTTGCCTCAATTCGTGAGATTTGGTCGGTCCATTTGAGCGAGAGAGAGAGATAGAAATGCTTCAATTTAAGGTAAATATCCAACATTTTCAGCAAAAAATGGCTACATTCGCGGGCCACTCGGTAAGGCAAAAGGTCATAGAATATTCAAAGTCTAAAGGTTAAGATGATAGCCATATCTGTTATGGGGACAGGTCGGCTTTCAATTTCTCAAGTTCCGTTTCTTTACGCGTGCGGTAGCCTGCTAGGAATGGGAGTATACAGGGTTGGTATACCGGCAAACATATGACAGAAGCTTCGGTGCATAGTAGGGCAAGACTTCGCAACCATTAGGTCAGAGTGGAGAGGATGAGCGAACACTCTAAAATTGTGATCAGCAACTTACTTGACCTTTTTAAGTGTCGTTGTATTATAATATCAGCCTAAAAACAGAGGAAACGCTAGCAGCTGAAGAGAGCATTCGGAGGATACGCTTAAAATTGACCAGGGAAAATAACTGGAGAACAGTAAAAAATAAGGAGGCGGAGGAGGAGGAGGAAGAAGAAGAGAATGCAGGCCTCTATAAATCATCAGATTAGGGCTTGCTGTGTGCGATGTAAAGGCAAACGGCGGATATAATATAAACATTTACGAATTTTAATGCAGAGGCCTTCAATATGAAGAGCAAACGAGCAGTTATATGCCAAAGTAACACCACGGTATCAAAAAGAGGATACCTCATTGGGCAGAATCCTGTCTGTGGATTCAGGACGTCACAAGAGGGTCGCAATCGAAAAACACACTGGACTGACTTCTGGTCGTTTATTAGAAGGTCATTTGCTGAAGGCATCATAAAGAGAATCCTATAAATACATGCAGCCTTTTTGTAATAGTTAATCGCTGTTTGTGAACACAAGTTACTCGTGGCCAATTCTCTTCTCTGCCCCTTCCGTGTTGACTTTTGGGACAACAGCCCGGCAAACCCACAGTTCGGGTTAATGATAAGAGTACCGGTTGGGGTCGTAGAAAGTTCCTTATGTATTATAACCGCCTACTTTCACATTTTAAGTAGGTTGAATTACCCACGATGTACTCAAGCGGGTTAATGACAAGTACCAGGCGCGGGTCAAAACAGTAACGCCATTCATACTGTGAACACATTAAAAAAAACTGAATTGCTCATAGTTCGCATGTGCTGATCGATTGAGGTATTTGAGAACTTGCCCAAGTACATTCTTTTTGTTCTGCAGGAGCACTCTTATCCCTATTGGCCATCGAAGCGGTCTGCCAGATATCAGTACTACGTCATCGATCCGATGGTTGAGTACAATATGCCAACTTACACCTTACGCGAGTTCAAGGTCACGGACACGCGTGCTGGCGTTTCAAGAACAGTTCGGCAGTTTCAGTACACAGAGTGGCCCGAGCTGGGCATGCCGGATAACTGCGAGGCCTTCACAAACTTTATCACTCAGATCCACAAGACAAAGGATCAATTTGGTCAGGACGGACCCATTACTGTTCACTGCAGGTGAGTACTACGGGGCGGGCGCCTTTTGGGTGGAGGTTTTTAAACCAGAGCAAATTCACATTTGCATTTACAAAATTTGCAACTTTGCTTTTCAGCTGTGGTTCGGGTCGTACGGGTGTCTTCCTACTGCTGTCCGTGGTGCTGGAAAGACTGCGCAACGAGGGTATAGTGGACATTCTTCAGACGGTGCGACTTCTTCGGACGCAACGAATTCATATGATTCAGTCACCGGAACAATTACAGTTTTGTTACAAGGCCGTTCTAGATTACATATCCTCATTCAACGCCTGCGTTCGATGAAGGTGCATACGCTGTGAACGAAGTCACAGCCCTGATATACATAATTGTACACATCTATCATATATATCCCGAAGGACTGAAATTTAAAAGAAAACTCGGAGGCGACCCGGAGTGAAACACAGAGTCTGCATTCATTGACCTAATTCTTTCAAGTCCATCCATCCATCCATCCAGCCACCCACCCACCCCAAGAAGCCTATTTTGCAGGCTTGCTGCTCTCTGCCTCAAAATAAATCAAATAAAACTCCCCAACCCCGCTCCCCCCACCTCCGCGAGACCTTAAATTTACAAACTTTATCTTCCTGCTTCGAAAACAAATTTGGATGCCCTCTGTGTGTGTGTTTACGTGCATTCTTGTATGTATATTTCGCTGTTATTCATTGAGTACTGTAAATGACCATTTCAGTGAAAGGTTAAGCCCTCATTCGTCCCTTCTTTGCCTGTCTAATATAACTTACTTGCTATCTTCAAAAACGCTCTGTGGACAAACGATATCTTCGTAGTTCACATGGTTCTTGTCCAGTTAATACGCAGAATGAAATAAATGATAGGAAAATGGGGACTTCAAAATGTCACACATCACTTGGAGGCAATCTGGTCACAGGGGTATTCACTCATACCACTATTAATTCGGTTAAGCTCTCCCGACATAAACGAAGAGGCGACTTCCAGAAAAAACATTCAAAAGATGACGAAGAAGATGCGACCGCTGGAACGTAGTGTATGTTTGACTGGCGTTTCGGGATTCCCGTTTAATCCATTATCAGAGACAGTTGCAGACGAAGAAAAAGAAGGGACACAGATTCCGCAGTTATCAGGCGACCAAATGCCTGCGGTAGTTGTTAGGAGGGCCCAACACGCGCGTCCTAACCCGGGTTGTCCTGAGGGCACCAGAACAAAAAAATCGGACAGGCTACCGATGCACACAAGAGAGCAACCTTGAAAGGCCAACACGCGAGCAAGCAAAGACAACTACGGGCCGGTGTCTGCCATCCGTGAGGTCATGCTTAGCCAGGGGCAAAGCGCGCGCGCGCGCCAAGCGTCACTTGAGCGCACGATGGTTGGAGGCATGACGGCTGCCTGCAGAGGCCACTCGTTAAGAGAGCCAATGGGGAACAATGACTACTAACCCTTAACTATGCTGTCAACACTGAAGGCGGCGTTCTGTTGCTGGAGACGCGCTACCGATGACCCGAGATTCTGCTGCTGGAGACACGGAACGCTGTTGGCCGAGACGACGACAGAACACACGCTGCTGAGGGACACAGAAGACCAAGCTGCCGGACACGCAGAAGACAAGGCTGACGTAGACGCAGAACTAGTTAGAGTAAAGTACAATCTGCTATCCTGTTCTGCCTTCTCTTCTTACCACGTAACTGGGGGACATAACCGGTGTTGACAGAGGAACAAATAAGGCTATAAAAATTGGCGACGCAGGTGAGATCGACCCAGGTTGCAACAGTAGTCCTCGTGTTCATCGCTACTGGCCGTCGTTGATGCAATAATGGTCTTTTGTTTCGTGCCCAAACCATTAATTGACGTGGTTGTGTAGGAGTTTGCCGCCCAACGCAACTGCGCGTGATTCATCTTCCCTTTGTTCTGGCAGG